TAAGCACGAAAGCTGGAATTCAAGAAGTCATCTGTAAGAAAAGTTCTCCAAAAATTAAGGATATTTTTAAAGTAACACAGTGATTAATTTATTGAGGACACAGAGGTGTTTGTAGTTTAAAAAAAAAAAAAACCAGCAAACAAAAAAAAAACCATTTATTCAGATTAACTGTGCAACCAAAATGAAAACTGACATCTTCAAACTGCAGAGACAAAAAACTTGTTAGAAATGAAGTCACTTTGAAAAAATATTCTGAATGATTAAATGTAATAAAGGCAACCAAGCATAGTAACATGTAAATGATCATACTGAAATATCTCTGAGGACTTTCATCATCATCATCAGTAATACAATTATCCTAATAGAGTCCTCTAGACTACTTAGTTTTTCAGAAGACCTGTCAAGACTACATTTGAATTCAAAACCAGGTATCTTACTAAGAAAGAAATATATTGTCTGTACGCTATATAAGCATAGGAATAATTTTAAGTGGATAAAATATAGCCATTTAAGCAGAAAAGCAAGAAAGTGAGCATGAAACAGACAATGGTTTTGTATATCAGTACTGAAAAATATTCAAGATCACTGCTTTTAGAAATACACTATTATTTCTCTGCAACCTTTTCTCCCCCAGAGAAGGGAAGGAGAGACTTAAGGCATAGATTTGCTTCTCTCTTAGCATGTAATTAATTAGTTCCTTTGATGAGTTTATGAATTTAAATATTCTCACACCTGTCTTTAGGTTCCCTATACACAGAATAAATAAGCACTAACATTTTACATAATCAAGTACTCATTGTAGATTAATTCATTAATTTCGCAAGACATTATCCCCGTGTAACAGGAGCTTTCTTAAAAGACTGCTTCCCACTCACAAGTTAACCATCTATAATGCAATCCAGAAAGAGCAGCTATTGTTCTTTTCCCATTTGGCATCAGGGAAATACTGGATTTCAGAAATTAAAGTATAACAGCTGGGAAGGAGAATTGATTATGCTTATAACATGAACATCCCATTGACCTCTTTTATTTAACAGTGACCTTACTGCTTAAGCTCCTTAAACGTGGTTGTACCAAGCAGATACAAGTGCTTCCTCCTGTCTTACCCAGTGCAACAGCCTTAGAACCAAATTAAATACACACACTGACCTTCCTGACCAGAGAACCAAGAACGTATGTAGAAAGAACCCTGAACCACCCAGCTGAGGGACAGGAGATCCAAAGCTTCGTTAGCATTTTGCGGCAAACAGACCTCCTACAGGGAAGCCCTGCATCTTGGTCAACTGCCTTCAAGACGTAAGCCTGGTCTTCCTAATCCTAACTAACGAATTACCTCTAGAACACCTGCCCAGCTGTTCAAAGGGTTTACAAAGTAATTAATTCCAAAGATAATAAACCAAGGCAATCCAGATTGTTACAACAACCCTAAATGACGTGCTTTAATGGGAAGTACTTTCTTGCGTTACTAGGCTGTATTTGCATAAACCCAATTCCCAGTATGGAAGCCTATACAACACAGACAGAATGGCATGTTCCTGACACCACAGCTAGGACCTTACGAAACTTAATGACTGAGCAATAAAATGTCAAATGAAATTCAGTATAAATAAACGGAAAAAAACAACCCTAAACTTACATGTGAAATAAGAGGCTCTAAGCCTATCATCACTGTTCAGGAGCAAGATCCTGGAGCTATGGTTCACAGACTCATGAATCTACAACCTCAATGTTCAGCAACAGTCAAAAAAGCAAATGACAAATTGTGTATTATTGCATTATTGTAAGGAAAGAAATATAAAACAAAATACAGAGCATCATTAGGTCACTACGGAAATACATGGATCACCTTTCAAATAGTGTGTACGGCGTAGCTCAAACCTATAGAACTGAAAGCATTCAAAAGGGACAACAAGGCTGATCAATGTATGTAACTGTTCCCATAACATGGACAACTAAGCCACAGTTAGAAATCTTCAGTCTGTGAAAGAGACCTGTGTGGCAATAACACGAGGAAATGTATAAAATCATGGGTGTAGGTAAGACGTTGCAAAGATGTACTGTTACCTGTTTCTTGCAATACAAGAACCGGGTAATATCAGAAGGACACCAGTAGGTGCAAAGCTGCCAGAAGTAATTTAGTTGTGATTCTTCTTGCCAGAGCATACTGTACAGTGCTGACAGAGAAAGTGAAGAATTTTATGAAGGAGAAACCCACTAAGGATGACTAACAATGTCTAAAAACAGAGAAACCGTATCAGGCTCTGGAAGTTTCTGAGGTAACAACAGTTGGAGCCCAAAAGCAGAACAGAACATGTATGTTCATGATTCCCCCTATATTCTCCCACAGGCATCTGCTCTTAGCCACTATCACAGCCAGGATATTGGACTAGACGGTCATTGATCTGATCCTGTACAGCCACTCATGTGTTTTTGCTTCCTTTAATCTAGAAGAACATCTAACATTTTTCTTTACGAGACAGTATACCATCAACACACAAGAATTAGATCAGCAATTTTGATTGATAACTTAGTTTACTTTCCAATTGGATAAGTGTATCATCAGAAACATCAGTAATTTATCCTTTCTGTACTATGTCCTGATTACAAACAACGTAAAAGGAAACAATTTCTGCAGCAAATGAAAACAGATCAAAGTAACAGATGCCCTGCTAAGGGCATTACTTTTAAAAGACAAAAGTATTTTGATCATCATTGTAAATCTGGTCTTCAAAAGAAAAAGGTACCATAGCTACCATATGATTAAAAGTCATGTCATAGTTGCCATTGATTTTTCTAGCTCTTTACTGTTCTTCACATCAGGATGTTATCTGCCTCTTTAGAAAGTACAATATTTGTAAAGTTAAAAGCAAGACAGAAAAATTAAAGTAGCAAGTAAAAATGTCAGTTTACTTAGCCATGTCTAATAATACTTTCGAAGTACGCACAGTACATAGCACCCAAAGATACCAAAATTCTAAAGGAACACTAAGGAATTATACTCCTTTATCATCATCGAACGAGAAAACATTGAATTGCTTCCAGGCTTCAGCAACACAACCTTTCAAAAAAGCTGTAGGCAGAAATAGCAAGGTAAAAATTTTGTTCAAAGATTTTGTTTATGTGTGGTCCCATAAAAGTTAGATGCAGGTAAAAGAAACAGAGGCCCAAATCCAAATCCCACAACTGTTCAATGTCAATACCAAGAAGTAACTATGTTCTCCTTCTACAGAATATTTTGTTTGGATGTTATTTCATCTGAAAAACTACTGGGCAAGCGCAGCTTTCAGAGTGCCTTTAAAGCTTTTTGGAGACAGGCAAGATGACGAAAAAATTTTTTTATATATATATTTAGAAGTTACAAAAATTAAATCAACAGAACCAGCACTAAATACAGTAATGTCTATCTTTTAAAATACTGACTTTGATAATTATTTTTCAAGTTATATTGATTACACTGATCAAGTTCCTTCTCATTTCCACGCCTCTGATTTCTTTCCTGTTAATGTTAACCTGTCAACATATAAAAGCTAAATTTCCAAAGGTCAATTTAAATTTTGTATCAACTGGCCTATACCCTTTCCACACAATGTAATAGATAATGAGTTGAATTATGATCTAAGAAAAGTTCTCATAAAATAAGCAAGGAATAAGCCATCAGAATTTCCACTGAAAAGAGAGGTCACCTATGGGGTGCACGAGGACCAAGAGGTCAGAGATCTGTAAGTTACGTGGTATCATCTACTCCTGAAACTGTAAAATCATCCTACAGTAAGTGTCGAATCTGCTCCCCCACCTCTGCAGTTCCGTGAATTTGTAGCACAAATTTGTGCTGTACGAAATTACATTTCCTATCAAGGGCATTTCTCAAAACCTCAATTCCTTAGCAGCTGTGTTTTCACAGCAGTATCAGGGTGTGGTCTTCCCCCACTATCAGCTTTTTTTTTTTTTTCCTTCAAAAAGGTCTAAAGTCAGCTTTAGTGTAGCAACACTATGGGTTTCGTGCAGTTAAATCCTAAAATATTTTGATAATTTATGTATTTTATACTAGGTAGGTTTAAAAAACAAAGTGTTTTAATCTTTACTAATAATTAATATAATTTCTGTCTAAACGCATTTGCTAGATAACTCACAGAACTCAATACTATTCAAAATGAATAAGCTATGCATATCATTTTGTTGTATTTTTTCTATATTGAAAATATTTAATTTTTTAAAAAATTAATTATACTGATACCGCATACCTGAAACTGGATCCTGCAAAACAGTCCAAATAATAATGACTTTTTTTTTAACACAGGAATATCTTGTTTTGTCAAGTTAATTCAATCACTGTAAATATATCAGGCAGTTGAAAAAATACAGAGTATAGCAATTACTCCAGTGAGACTGTGTGTTTATTATAAAAAGGAAATCCTTATTACAAGTATCTGGTACTTGTAATTCCAGATAATTCTAATACAAGCAAACATTGAGGGGGTTGGTTTTTTTTATCCAAAAGAAACAATAAGTTTAAGCACATGAAACTTTCTCTACAGTACAAATATTATGGGGATTATGCCCTACATTTCAGTACATCACTGCTGGCAAAACCACAGTCAGCCACGATTATGAATTCTACAATCCAGGATAACTAAATGACCAACTTAACTTTATTGTTCTTCAAAACCCACTGATGGTTGCAAACCATTTTTCTCTTTCTTCATAAGATAAGGATATAAAGAGACACATCAAAAACACTCTGTCAAGAAAGATTTAAAAGGATAGCAGGGCAAGGTCTCATGATGGGAAAGTTTGGTCAGACTATCATGCCCAGAGCTGTCACAAAAATTCAGTCTCCAATCCATACAGCTCACTGAACAATTGTCTTTGCATTACAAGACACAAATAGGAAAATATGCAGCCACATCACATGTATTTTAAAATGAATGGCACAACTATTTGAGAAGTGTTTCTCAGAAGTACATACAACCCTCCTAAGCAAGGAGAAATTAAAAACTCACCATCACTGAGATCCTGCAGAAGGTTTTCTTGGCATGAAAAGTCCAGCTTTACTTTAATGTTTACAGTAAATGTTGCGATCTTCCCAGGTTTTAGAGGAAACTGGGAGAGGGTATCTTCTAACTTCCAACTCAGGAAGTCCCCATACAGCTTCTCTGCATTAAAATAAGGAAAAGTTTAATAAGCTTAACCCCTGTGTAAAGGAAGTTTAAGTTTATAACTTGTAGAGTATTAACTGATTTGCCGTTTTCTGTTTATATTCTGAAACATTCAGATTTAGGCATTAAAAATAAATGTAACACTAGAAAGACATTAGAGAGGTTACTGACATTGACCTGGAACCATGTAGATCACAAAGCTCAAAATACGAATCTAAGTGAAGAACACCACCACAAAAAGCATATTGCACAATAGGCTGCATTAAATCTACACTTTGAATACTCAAGAACACAGCCCAAAGGGGACCTAAAAGTTCATATAGTTTTGAATCATATAGACTCCAATTCAGGAAATGGCACATGAAGGCAAAAAACATTTCATCAAAACATTACACTAAAATAAATCAGTTACAATTCTGAAACACAATTGAGAAGGCTAGGAAGACCACTGGCTTTCTATTTTTTATAAAATAAAATCCTTTCTCAAAACTGAGAAGCATAAAGTATACAAGACCCAAATATTAAAGAAGCTGCCAGACAGTACAGTTCGTGTTAAAAGGTATTTGTTGGGGAAATTATTTATCTTTGGTCCACATGAGATACAGCATCTGTAATTATTAGCTCCTCTGCCCTAAGCCTAAAGTGTCAGAAGGTAACACGAGGAAAAAACCCAATATTTACTGTTCATCAATACATTGAGATACTTTATCCAATTATTCAGTCTCATTATTCCAGTAACATCAAAGGACCCCTCTTGAAATAAAGAGGAGCACAGGGTTAATTAAGTCCACTTCAGGAAGAAGGGTGATTTCGTTACCTGTTATCTCAAGCTCTGAAATATGCCAAAACTATAAGTCATGGACATTTAAGTACCTTCAGCAGAAGCGATCTAAAAAGTGATATTCTATGAATTTTACACAAGAGCAAATAATTTTTTTTAGAATGACAGAGAAGGTGGTTACATACTAGAATGGCAAAATAACACAGTGACTTCTTCCTGAACTTCAGATACTAAACAGGCACAAGAAATATCTGCTAATCTCTGCTTTCTTTTATCCACTTCATAAATAATCCCGGGGCCGGCTGTGTGGTAAAGAAACCATTGTACAGGGTCTGGTTGAGATGGAGTTAATTTTCTTCATAGCAGCCTGTATGGTGCTGGTTTGGATTTGTGTCTAAAACAGTGCTGATAACACACCAGCTTTTTGGCTATTGCTGCGCAGTACTTGCATGGCATCATGGTGGGGGCTTCAGTTCTGGCGGGGGTCAACACACCACATCCATAAATTCATTAAAATTTTCAAGACCATACAATGTTAAACACTGCAGAAAAGTCTATTAATACATAAAACAAACATGAAGATTTAACTGGCAGAATCCTAAAAATCTGTTTATGAATTTACTGAAGCAATGCATACTATCTCTAAAGTGCACCAAAGAATTCTTCTAAAGGCTCATTTCAACACCATTTCAGCATTGCTTTGAATAACACAGGGCCAGTGGAAGTCACACAGTTCATCTCTACTTCATACCAAGCTACTGTGTTTAAGAGCAAGTTAGTGTATTGCCATTTCGGAGCCCTTCCAAAACCATCATCTAAGATCCATGTGTGAGAAAATGGGCTGGGAAGACTGCCTCAAAAGCAACAATCTAGAATTAAGGGTCTTTCAAAAAAAGCAATTAGAATTCCAGTCCAAACTTTGTGCATTTGCACAAAAACGACTGCACCTAGGGATGGAAAAAAAGTGAATAATTTTCCATTAACTTCTGCCTAAACAATAACTGCTTTGACTGAGATATATTTTTCTCACAGACCATCAATTGTTGTCTCGTGTCTTTCCACATCAAATCAATATTATAGACTTCTTTATAAGAACAAAGATGAGGTAAAAATAAAAAAAATCCTCCTAATAATTGTTTCCTTAAAGTCACCTCCACCTCATCTAATGATTTAGCTGTAACCATATCACTGTTCTGATTTTCTTTTATTTTTAAGAGAAGTAGCTTAACTTCAAGTACAGCAATCCCTGTACCCTTTTCCTGATACATAAAAACATAATATGCTAAAGGGATGTTTTTTCTCAGTGTAAGTAAGGAAAAATGACACATCCCAAGCACTTGAGTGTATCTTCAGTTTAATGAACAAATTGTTTCCAAAATGTATTTTCATTAAGCAGGAAATTTACTTGAAGATACAAGTGAAAAGACTTTCCAAGTGAGAATAGCCCTGGCAGATACTCTCTAATTTAACACCTGTAATTACAAGACAAGGTCTAAATGCTCAAGCTAAAAGTTAAACTGTAGAGAAAAATCTAGTTTATATTTATCTGACACTAGTTTATTGTTTAATAATGTTTTCTTCACCTTGTTCAGTTACCATTATTACAGTGAAGTATACTATGGCACGGGGCTTCAAACATTTCAGGTCAGTGGGAAGGAGACTCATTTGGGATACGCTTGTATTCAGTTGTTCCTAGAGTCCAAAATTTGTATATAGCAAACAATTGAAGTTACAAGAACTGAAGTTACAAGCAATTTTTAGTCAAGAGTTTAAATTAGTAACTTGTTTTATCATTTTACTGGATACTAAATCACTAAAATCATAACAAACAGCATTTAATAGCTTACCCACAATCTAACTTTGGGTTACCCTAACCCAATCTAACTCATAACAGATTTTAAGGTCAAAGCCTGCCAAAGAAAAAAATCCACACTGGCATCTTACATAGAGAAACTCGATAGAAAAGCAAGTCTTTTGAGACCACATGAACCTCAATTCTTTGAATTCATTTCAGTCTCAAGTTCCCAAGTAAATATGGCTTTTTGCTATGTTTCTCATTTTCCTAATTTAATCTTTGCACAGATGCGCAAATGGTTTATTTTAATGTAAGCGCATCTACAAAATTCTTTACTGAAATAATTTAACTCTTTGTTTGGGTATTTAACTTTACATGGCTATTAAAACCATTATGAGAAGCCATAATCCGTTTTTACCTTCCCACCATCACAAATTCATGCTATTGTATAGAACAACATGCATTAGGACTGCTACCATTTTTCTTAAAATTATTTGTTCTTAAGATAACCGGTCAACAAACAATACCATAAAATGATGAATTTAAGAATTACTTTACTTAAATAGGAACAAATTCAAGTTAGACTAGCAATGTGTATTTAGTATTTCATATATTTGAACATTCATATCTCAACTGCATATATTAAGGTATAGAATTTATGAGCTACCAAGATTTTTATTTTTTTTTGTTTTCATAAAATGCTTTATAGAACAACAGTGTAGACAGACATTTCTTTCAATAACAATGTTTAAGGCTATCAGCATTAAACTGTTCTGCAAATTACATTCACCACCTGATCAGATTCATTTCCAGAGAGTTCATCTTGAGTAACTTTCAAAAATCTTTTAGGGAAGTCGTAATGGCAAAGGCAAGAAATTCAAAAGGACCTCATGAAGTCAAGTGAGTATGCAAAAGATGGACTTACATACGTACATGGACAAACACACGTAAAGGTAAAATATTGCATCTTGGGGGGGGTGGGGAGTGGGCGGGAGATGAGCCATGCCCGGTATGCTGAACTTCGAACTGGCAGTTACAACTCCAGAAGGAAACCATAGAGTCACCATGGATGGTCCTCTGGAATCAACATCTTAGTCAACAGCAACAGGAAAAAAAAAAAAAAAACAACCAACCAAACAAAAAACTCACACCACAGCAAAACGCAGGTCATCATTAGGAAGGATAACGAGAGCAAGTCAAAGGGCGGCATTTTGCCACTGCATAAAACATTGCTGCGCTCACATCCTACGTGTTGTTTGCAGTTCTGGTCTCTGTACTGCAAGGAGGACATCCTAGAGCTAGAGACCATCCAAAGAAGGGTAACTAAAGGAGGACATCCTAGAGCTAGAGACCATCCAAAGAAGGGTAACTAAAGAAATCAAGGGGGTGAAGCAGCTGCCAGGTGAGAAGAGATGAGAAAATGCTGGGACTTTTCTGTCTGAACAGAAGGCTGAGTAGCAGAAGATGACTGCAGTTTACAAAAATTGCAAAGATGGCAGATAAAAGTGAATGCAGAACTGCTGTTCACTCAACTCCCTGGTATGAGAACTGGGAGCACTTGATAAAACTAGTAGGAGATCAGATTAAAACAGATACAGCACTTCTCTACCCTTCTGGAATCTGTTGCTACAGGAGGCTGCAGGGGCAAGCGGTACCAGCAGCTTCAGAACGGGACATGCAAATTCATGAGCAAGTCCACAAAGGGCTATTTAAAAGGAAGTATGTATGTACAGCAACTACAGATGCGGAGCAAGCTCAAGAGAAATACCACAACAGTGGTGATCCTTGCATGTTGTCCCTCAGCAGCATCTCCTTATGTCCTGACTACTGAGCCACATGGGACCATCAGCCCTAGTCGGACAGTTCTTAAATGTTTATGCCTTTGTCTTCCTGTGGGAGAACAGGACAGGATGGGACAGAATCCCATCCCAGGCCAACCGTACGCTGGGCTGCATCAAAAGAAGTGTGGCCAGCAGGTGAAGGGAGGTGATCCTGCCCCTCTACTCCACTCTCCTGAGACCCCACCTGGAGTACTGCATCCAGCTCTGGAGCCCTCAACATAAGAAAGACATGCACCTGCTGGAGCGTGTCCAGAGGAGGGCCACGAGGATGATCCGAGGGCTGGAGCACCTCTCCTATGAGGAGAGGCTGAGAGAGCTGGGGCTGTTCAGCCTGGAGAAGAGAAGGCTCCAGGGAGATCTTATTGCGGCCTTCCAGTAACTAAAGGGGGCCTCCAGGAGAGCTGGGGAAGGACTTTTTACTAGGGCATGTAGTGATAGGACAAGGGGGAATGGCTATAAACTGGAAGAGGGCAGGTTTAGATTAAACATTAGGAAGAAGTTTTTCACTTTAAGGGTGGTCAGGCACTGGAACAGGTTGCCCAGAGAGGTCGTTGAGGCCCCATCCCTGGAGGTGTTCAAG